TCTCAACCCAAAATCACAAAAAAAGCCCCATTTTTTTTTATTCACTCCTCCACCACTTAATCTCGATCCTTTCACTTTCGGTCTCTCTCTCTCTCTTCCTCCCCCCCTCCGTCAACTTCCTTCCTGCTCTTCCAGCCGCCGCGCGCTCTGTAGCGAGAGAACAGGCAGCCGAATGATGATGTAGAAACCCTAATTACGCTTTTTATTCCACGCTAAAATGACGCCGTTTCATTAAGCACCGAACGGCGTCGTTTAGCTGCAAAAAATGCTGGACTCGACGTCTTCCTTCGGGGAAGGGGCCGGCTGGCTTTTTATTTCAGCTCAGGATGGGTTTTAATTGGAACTTAACAAACCCAAAACCCCTTTTTCTTTTTATTTCTTTTGCTTCTCAATAAAAATAGAATAAATAAATAAAAGATAAAGTAAAAATAAACTAGTATAAACTAATAATGATAAAAAGATAATAATTATCATTCGATTTTATTGATAATTGAGTCTTCTTTTTTTTTTTTTTTTTAATTCATTTATCTTTTTGTCAATTATCATATTATAGGATATGTGACAATTAAGATAAAAATATGTAATAAAATGAGAGTACATGTTAATTTTAGTGACATGTGATATAAATATTAATAATGTTAAATGTCGCTCAGAAGAAATAGACAATTGAAGTTATACGAGCTAAATCAACTTAATTTAACTGAAAAATAAATAATAAAAGAAAGTGAAAATATATAATTTTAGTAGAACATTCCACAAGAGAGACTTTCTGCTTAAGAAAACTGTGGTCCCGTTATTTTCTTGACTAAAATTACATTTTAAATTAAGAAAATAATTTATATATGAAAAACGTGTTTTATTATCATTCTTCTTACTGATACAAAAACTTGATCTTCAAGACTTCGTAATGGTTATCAAATAAGCCGCATGCGTGCGGTTCAATTGGGCCCAACAAATTACTCTTACTTCTGATTATAAATTAAATTGGGATCAAACATTAACTTTATCACTCTGTGTTTTATATAAAAATGTATAAATAACGACATAATACTTAATTTAACATAATCAATTATTTAAGATATGTTAGGTCGGTTTGCAGTAAGGCCGGAATATATATATATATATATATGTGTGTGTGTGTGTGTGTGTGTATATATATATTCTAGAATAAAGTATAATTTTTTATATTCATAAATGATGTAAACTATTTTCAATATAATTGACACCACATATACGAGATTATAATTGATAACTAATTAATTTTAAGATTATTATATAATGTAATTGACTATTATAGTTAAAGATTATATACATTTCATAACTAATAAGGAGAGAGAGCAAAAAATGACATAAGAGTTATATAACCATATGAAACTCATGTATCAAATTATTTGTACCACTTGACAAATCTAAATCGACTTCATATGAATATGTTATATATACAATTGGAATTTTAGTAACAACATTAAATCTTGAATTATGGTAATATTTTTGTAGAAATTCTGATAAAAAATAGTAGTTATGATAATTTTTTGTATATTTTATAAGAGATTTAAAAGTTATATTCATTGAATTTAATATAAAAACACTCTCGATAACAATAGTGTTAAACAGTCATCATTATTATTTGAATTTAAAATTATATATTATTTAAATATTTTTATAATTATTTAATATTTAAGTAAAATTCAATTACTATAGAACATTATACACGTAAATATTTTATTTATTTTTTAAACATTACATGATCATTCATTTATTTATTGACAAAAAAGTTAGAGAATCGATTATATAAATCACAATCTATGTAAAATAGAAATAATTTATATAGACTAATAGTTAATAATGTAATGAAATAAAATTTATATTTGGGATTAATTTATATAAATATTAGCAGTATTCTTAAGTATGCATTAACTATATAAACACTTCCATTATTAAAAGTGTCTATTTTGGAATTCTTATTAGTTATGCGTCATTTTTTGTATATCTATTTTAATTTATGATCATTAATATATCCATTATATGTAATAATATTTAAGTATTACATAAATACAATGTCACATCATCAATTATTACTTAAATATTTTATATCTAATTGTATATCCTTTATTTAAATACGTAATTTTTGAAAATTATTTGAATTTGGTTTTAACATAAAAACTTTCACATCAAATAATATAATGATATAGCTCTATTTGAAAATGATATTTTCATTTTTATTTTTTATTAAAGAAGTTAGTAATTTCTTCTATAATTTATTGATCAACAAGTTAAATTTGTAATTTTGATGTACTATCTGTATTAATAGATTAATTAATTTATTTTTGTAACTGCGGCACGCATACATTTCATATTTTAATAATAAATTTATTTAGCCTTTCGGAAAAAATAGACAAAATTAATTTTATAAATAGGCGTAGAAAAGCAACCGCCATAATAATTATATAATTATGTGTACGGGACCGGAGGTGTGAAACTGAGATGGGACCCACTAGCTTATTAGCTTTCATGTGTAAATTATTAGTTGACTTTGACCAGCTTGTGGCTCAAGCAACCCAATCCCAACCCCAATCCCAATCCCAATCCACACCAGCCCGTCATCTTTGACTAATTCAAAACTCAGAGTTCGGACGTTTGCATTTTGCAAGCATTGCCTGTTGGTGGGACCCACCGCTGGCCCACTCTTAGCGGGTTGGTTAAAAGAATCTGATTTAAATTTCTTCCGCTCAAAGACTTTTTTATTTTATGGATAAAAAAGAATGTTTATTTAATTTAGTTATATACTGTTTGTATTAAAAATTATAGATTAATTAAAAGGTCAGTATTTCATTTTTTTTGTTATTTGTCATCAATATATAAATCATATATGTTATAAAATAAAAATATGTATATTTTAATCTGTAATGTATTTTTTATTATTAAATTTAATTTGGTTACAAACATAATATGCTATAGTAACAAAATTAACAATATTTACAAACTCAATTTTTAAATCAGCTCTTTATTTTTATAAAATTAAAAGTCAGGGAGTTCAACTTCCAGAGAGTATAAGAGTAACCATATGTTATGTTGTAATTAAAAAGGTTAACAGTGTTTATTAAGAAATTAAGACAGACTTTTACATCATATTTGGTTGATAATTCAATTTTCAAATCCCAATTATTTTAAATTATATATTTGAAGTCTAAAGGGAGTTTTTGATTTTGTTTTTCTTTTTTTTTTTTTTTAAAATTTTTATAAATTGAGGAATTGAATTACTACAACTGTGGTATACAACAAAAACTGATTTGAGGCTTCAACATATCTTGTTCATACAAGAAGGGCCTCAAAACAATTATAAAAAAAAAAAAATGGAGTTTAGGAATTCCTGTATCAAGCAATTATGAATATACAAAACCGAATCCCCGTGTAGGATAAAAAATATACAAACAAACAAACAAACAAACAAACAAACAGAATGTCAATAAATTAAATGAACCTAAAAATGAATCTTTCCACCTTCTTATTCCTTCTACTTTCTTCTTCTGTCTTCAAAACTCCAAATCCATCCACTCCCAACTGGCTTCAACATAGCAATGACTCAAGAAACAAGTCATCTCTTGGTTCTTCCTTTGCTCTAGGGAACATATTATTGGTGTTTGGTGCCTGAGGGATGTAAGACCCCAAAGGGTTTCCGAATCCCGGGAACCCGAAACTCCCAGGGCTCTGCAGCATGTCTAGGCTTAAGGGTGATTGCCCTTCGGATGATTGCTGCCTTAAGTTGCGGAGAGGATAAGTTATAGAGTTGTCGGTGACATTAGCTATCGGCCTTATTGTCATTGCTGCATTGTTGCTATTGCTATTGTTGTTGTTATCAGGAAATGGTGGCCTATTAATAGAATGGCTTCCGCTGCCACGAGCAGGTGGGACGTCATGGTTGTGTTTTCCCTCGTAGGTGGTGATCACTGCCCTAAGATCATGGGATGCCCTCTCAACATGCTTTCTTACAGGGCAACCAGGGTATGTGCACTTATAGTAACTCCTGTATAATCAGGAATCAATTCATAATCAAAACATAATTTCACTAGGACTACACATAACAAAATAGTGAATTTTGGGACAAAACGTTCAGAAATAGTTGTAAAGCAAACCCAATTTATCTGGGTACAGGATCATAACTTTCCCATCATAGAAATGACCCTTTTTGAAGGGAGCCAAGAGGTACCCAAAAGACAGACAGTTCCATGGAATCCACTTTATAGCTATATGTAAAGAATGATAAAAAAAAAAAAAAAAAGAAAGGCATCTATATATAATATAAACTAAGAACCCTGATAAACAATTGTATCCAATGCAAGGTGATCATGTAAGCTATCAATTGACTATTGAAAATCTGAAGCCTTTATATCAAAGTTAGGGATAGAAAAATCCCTAACCTAAAGTGACAATATTATAATCATTTTAGAACTAAAGGTAGCAGATGAAAGTGAACTTTTTTCACCTTGGATTTGGGTTTCCCTTGACTACTTTCTGCCCATATTTCCTCCATCTGTATCCATCATCTAGAATATCTATGTCACTGGTTGTTTGGACCACAACTCTAGGTTCCCTCACAGTTCTGCTCCCAGGAGCTGAAATTCCTTCATTTTCCCCTTCTATTTTCCTGCAATAAAACAATATGAGATAATTCAGAGGAAGAACAAAACCCAACCAAATCACCAAACCCACATCTTAAAATTTATAAAAAGATTTAAAAGATGACTTATAATTGACAATTAAACCTACCATCTTTTGGCACCAGGTTCATCTTCATCAAGATCATCACCACCAGATTTACTCTTCTGGGAGCTCCTATCAAAGTCATCATCCCCTATTGATATGGAAGAATTATCTGGTGTCGCAGCAGAATCCATCTGACCAATACCATTTGTGACAAATGACTGATCTGGGATTTCACCAGAAAGTTGATTAGAGCCCTGAATTACATGAGAAGAAGCTATGGACGATGAGGATGATGATGATGATGATCTCCTAGTAGACTGAGGCTTAGGATGGTTATGGGTACCCTTATAAACGATCTCAGTAATCTGCCCATCTAAAGACCTTTCAACTTTCTTCTTGGTTGGACAATTTGGGTATGTGCACTTGTAATAACTCCTTGGATTTTCACTTCCTTTCACTTGTTTCTGCCCATATTTTCTCCAATTATACCCATCATCTGATCTCCTGCTTTCTCTGTGACCCTGTGGCTGTTGTTGATGGTAATTCCCACAATCCGATTGGAACCCAGAGGTCTTATTGGTGCTTTGGGTGGTAGTCTGTATGGTAGAAATCTCAGGAGAGAAGCTCTGCATGGAAGAATAATCGGGTTTTACCATATCTTGCTTGGAAGATTCTTGGAAACTCCATGACTGTTGTGTTGCCTAAAATTAGAAAAAGAGCAAACCATAAATGACAAATGAAGATAGAAGTTAGAAGAAAGAAATCCAGTAAAAACGATCCAAAAATGGTAAAAGGGTTGTGTACAGTTGTGATTGTTGTTGTTGTTGCAGAAGATTGGAAGCCAGTTGATGATGTGGGTGGTCTTGGTCGGGGCTGAAAAGAGAAATCAGAGTAATTGTTTGTGTTTTCTTGTTTGATTTCTTGTGGGTTATTGCCCTTCCAATTGAAAGCTTGAGCTGGAAAAGTTCCAGTTGTTGGGGACGGCAAAATCTGTAGTCAATAACAAATGATAATTAATAAAAAAAAAAATAAAAAACCCATTATCCAATTGTTCGATAAAAGGTCAGAAACATGATATGCAGACCAAGTTTAATCTAACCCTGATTTCCTTTTCCACTCTCGAAATTTAATTAAACAGTGAGAGGAATAAAGGAAAGTTATCAGTGTTTGGCTCTCAAGAAAACCCAAACGGGTTACGTGAAAATGGAAAAAATTCAAAAAATTCGCTTTCATTTCCATCATCCAAACAGAGCAGGATAATACATAAAAGTAAACAACAACAAAAAGATGAATACATACATTAGAAGAGCTTAACAGTACAGGAGAATCCAAAAGCTCAGCTGGGCTCAACCCAGGAGGAATAGCAAAGTAAGAAGAAGGCGAGAAAGGAGGAGGAGAGAGAGGGAGAGAAGGAGGCGATATCGACTTAAACTTGGGCACACCCGACCCGGTTCTCTCCGCGATTCGATCCGACAACGATAACCCACCACGCCTGGTGGTTTCATCAGCGGAATTTACAGCGGCGACCTTGAGCTGTTCATCGTCGTCGAGAGAAGAGGAGTTGAGGAGGCCAGTGAAAGATGTGTTCATGAATGAGTGGGTAGGGAAAGTGAAGCTGCTCCCAGCTGTAGTTATCTGGTGTAAGTTTGTCGATGTATCAAGTCTACCGCCGTAGGAAGACGCCATGAAAAGAGCAGAAGAAAATGAATGGGTCTGGGATGAATATAAGGGCAAGAGAGAGAGAGAGAGAGAGATGATTAGAGGAAAGAGAAGCAGACGGTCCCGTATGGCACAAGGTTTCTCTTTGTATTTTTCTTTAAACAAATTGTGATTATTTTTTTTCCTTTTTTTAATTTTTTTTTAAAAATTTCTTCATAAATGGCAGCTTCTTGGAAGATAATGGCAAGTTTGACTGAGGAATTTATAAGGAAGATGAGACACAGAGTGTGTGTGTGTGTGTGTGTTTGTTGTCCTGCTTTGTTGTGTGAATTTGTGTGTGCGAGTTCTGGTCAAAGCACGTGGCTTTGACTGGACGGCGGCTGCTGAGACACGTCTAAATATCTAATTTTTATCAAAAAGATTTTCTTAAAATTGGGTTTTTTATTTCAAAGAAATTACTTTTAATGGAAATATGAATATTTGAGAATCTTAAAAAATAAATTATTTTCTTCATAATAAAATCACCGGTGAGTCTAAACACTTTATAGTTTTTGTGAGGATATTTTCATATAATTTATTAGTAATATTAATTTATAATTATTTATTATTAAATAGACGTTATACGCGTGAAAATTATGTTTTTTCCATGTGAAAAGAATAATTGAGAATTGCAAGGTCTAAAGGGTAAATGTCATTGGGATATTAGTATAGTTATAAGCATGTAACGTGGGTAGGAATCCTTCTATGACTTCCCATATGTTTATCTTTTTCAAAATCACATATAATATATATATACATATATATATAGAGTTGGTCATATAATAATTAATATTATTTTAAAAAAATTATTTAATATTATTTATATATAGAAATAAAATATTTAATAATGAAAACGATTAATCTTTTAACCAATAACATTTTAGTATATTGAAGAATATGGTTTTAAATTTATAATAATTAATATTATATTATATATAGTAATATTCGATTATTAAGATATATTAAATGTAATATTGTTGACTATTGTTTGAATATCTCTATATGTAAGAGGTGGGAAGCTCGTAATTTCTTGAAAATTGTTGGAGTTTACACTTAATTATGGAATATTCAAAATTATTTAAATATTTTAATACATAGAATGTACACTATTTTAAGTATATACTTAATATTGATATTTATTATCTCTTTCTTCCATGTGTTTATTTGTTTTTTTTCCCCATAAAATTTGAATAATTTCTAAATAATTATATAGCACAATCTTGGAATAATTATG